AAAAAAAAAAAAAAAAAAAGGGAGAAGCAAAAGACCTCAGGAGATAATAATTAACACTGGATGTTAGCGGGTAGGTTGGCCCGGAGTCCACAACATGAGTAGGCTGACCAAGGAAGGCCCTTCCCACATGGTCCACTTCCAGGCAGCCTGCACCTCTGTGGAAAAGGCAGAGGCCTCTTTCCAGGCTAGGAATTGGCACCGAGGAGGGAGCTGGTCCCCAGGAAGAAGGCCCAGCATCCTGCACTGAGACAGACCACCATTCTAGGATCTAAGGAGACAGTGGGCCTGGGTTACCTGAGCCAGCGCCTGGCCTCTGCGAAGTGCTGCTTCCTCTTGTGCTCAGGTGCTGGAGCTGTCCCCTATTCGTCCGGGCTGTGAAGGAAGGCATAGAGCCAAGGGTGGACATCAAGGCCATTTCCAAGCTTTGTGACAGCTTTTGCTCATGGGACACTGATTCTGTTGAGAGATGCACAGACCATAACATCCAGAGAGGTTGGGCAAAACAAAAGCGTATTGAGAACTATAAAACAGCACTTCAAACTTCAGAGATATGTGAATGTACAGAAATTTTCCTGCTGTCTCCCAGGATCATGAAGACAGAATATGACACCCCAGGGAACCCTGAGAGTCACCAAGCCTTCAAGGCTGGACACGCTTGAGCTTCCCCTTTCTGGACAAAGCATGGGGCAGAGAGGGGCCACCTCGTGGCTCACTACAGAACTGCACCCACCTTCCTAAAGGCATTTCTAGAGCTGTCAAGGAAACTACAAGCAAGCAAAGGCCAGCCAGCCTATTCCCTGGCCCTGGCCCTCTTTCCTCCCCAGTAGCCTCAGTCCTTTCCTTCCTGGCTCTTCCCTCTGGGGCTCCTGCTCCCTGCAGGACTGCTGCATGTACTGGGTGAGTTTGGGTGATTCTCTCTCTCTGTCTCCTGGCGGTACAAAACCTCAGTCACTCTGGGCAGGCCATCATACAGCTGAAAGGTCAACAGAAAACCACACTACAGGATGAGAGTGGAGGCAAAAGAGAAGGGGGACAGCTGTCCAAGCAAGGCCTCAGGACCTGCAAGTGGCAGAAAAATGGAATGTTTCATCTACAGTTGTAGGACACAGTACATCACAGTCAAGGCCAACACTACTGAGACCACAGACAGATGAGGTCAAAGGACCTTTCTCCTTGTTTCAGTCACTGCACCTCAGATGTTTCCAGAAGCTTCTGGGGTCATGTTAACTAAAATGTACTCTCCAAACCAAGGACACAGATGTAACCATTAAACATAGCATTTGTATAACCTTTTATAGAAAGAAAATTAAAAGACTGATAAAATCTAAGCAGAGTAGTTTTCTTAAGGGAAAAAAAAAAGCTGTCAAAGATATCCTCCAAAAGTACCAGGCCCTGACAATACGCAAGGAAGTCTACCAAATATGTAAAAGTAGATCACTCTAACCCTATTAAATTGTTCTAGAGTACAGAAAAGGAAATTTTTCAAATTCTTTTCATGAAGAAAAAAGAAATTCACTGAGACAAAATCTGACCCAAAAGGTCCTATTCCACCAAAAGACAAATAATAAAGTGGGAAAATGTATTATTGGCTGACACCAAAGGGCTAGCTAGACAAAGTGATGCACACTTGTAAGTCCAGCTACTTGGGAGGCTGAGGCAGGAGGATCACAAATTTGAGGGGAGTTTGGGCAACTTAATAGGATCCTGCTTCAAAATAGAAAAATAAAGAAGAATAAACTTGTGTCATGTGCAGGAAAATGGAAACACCTTGAGACCATAATGTTAAATGAAATAAATCAGACACACAAATTTAAATGTCACATGGTTTCTCTTATATGAAAAACCTGAAGTATAAATAAAGACCAAAATAAAAGATGGATGACAGGAAACAAACAAAAAAAAAAAAAAGAAAGAAAGAAAAAGAAAAAGAAAAACTGCCAGAGATGTAGCTCAGTGGCAGAGTCCCCCTGAGTTTAGTCCTCAGTCTTGGGAGTTTTAAGGGATAGTCAAAAGGCTAATCTTCTCAACAAAAAAAAAACAAACTTTTTTTCCTAGAAATAACTTCTAAAAAGATCAACAGCTAATAGCAGCAAAGAAAATGGGACAGGCTGGGCGTGGTGGCACATACCTGTAATCCCAGCACTCAGGAGGCTGAGGCGGAAGGAACAATGTGAGTTTGAGACCAGCCTGGGCTACATAGTGAGTTCCAGGCCAGTCTCAACTACATAGTGAGACCCTGTCTCAAAAAAGCAAAAAAAAAAAAAACAAAAAAAAACAAAAAAAAAAGAAAGAAAGAAAAGAAAAGAAAAAAGAAAATGGGACAGCTTATAGAAAAGGAAACATAGTTTTTTACCACACTGCTCATGCTCACTATAAGAGCTATGAACACTAAAACAATATAAGATACCATTTTTTAACTATCACATGATAGTCTGAGAACACACTGCATCAGTGTGGCTAAGGAATCTCATACATTGCTGGTGGGACAGCTGCAAGGGCAACTTAACAATATCTATCAAATTTATAGCACATAGCCTTTGACCCAGAATCCTCTTTTGTGATACCATCACAGAGATCTTTGCACACATGCAAAATTATATACAGACAGTTGACTGTATGTTGATTCTATGCAGCACTATTTGTAATAGCAGAAAACTATAGAAACAACCTAACTCACTAGATCCAGTGGAACACACCTGTTAGCCTAGCCCTTGGGAGGCTGAGTCAGGACCGTCAGTTCAAAACCAGCCTAGTCTATACAAACAGTTCAATGCCAGCCATGGACTACGCAGGAGACCCTGTGTTAAACAAAATGAAACAGAAACAAAAATCTAACTGCCCATCAAAGAAGAACAAGGAGAATAGTGGTTGTTTCACTAAAAAAAAACAAAAAACAGGGCCGGGGATTTAGCTCAGTGGTTCTGCCACCTGCCTTGTAAGCACAAATACCTGAGTTTGATACCTGGTACAAAAAAACAAAACAAAACAAAACAACAACAACAACAAAAAAAAACAAAGAAAACAAACAGACAAAGGTCTTTCCCCTAAATCATTCTTCTGATGTGAAGACAGTGTCCTAATTAAAGCCCTAGAATTTCTGCTCAGGCTGCTCTCAGCCAAGAAGACACTTTATATTTCTACCCCTTCATTTTTCTTTTCCCTTGCCTTCACTAGAATCAAATACATTGCTGGTCAGTCTTATTTGGAACACCACGTGGTCTTTCATGCGAGGCCTCAGGGTATGAACATGAACATGAATGTGGGGTACAGTAGAGCAATGGCCTCCAAAGCTGAGCCTAGTAAACACACAGAGTGGGTGGGGGCCTGGATTACAGCTCTGCTCCAGCAAAGCCACATGGCTGCCCAGCATATGCAGCTACAGAGCTGGCCAGGTAAGCCAGGTTGCTTTCCTCAGAGATGGCAGTATCGTGGGTCCTAGAAATACCTGGTGCTGCCCCGAGAAGAGGTGGGAAGCAAGGAGGCTTCGGTCTCATGTTGAAGAACACTACGATCCAGCCACACATTTATTGATACAGAATCTTTAGTGTGGCTTTCACTCCTGAAAAGAGGGCCCACACCCTAGTGCTCTGCTACTTCTGGTTTTTGTGGTACCTTGTGGTGGGGTGTGGCAGAGGAGCTGATATGCTTCCATCAGTATTCAACTATAAAGGTGAGAAATAACACTCCAGAGGAGCCCCTGATAGAGGAGGAGCATAGACCACACCAGAAGGCCTGGGTATGGTGGCACAGGCCTGTGATTCCAGCAGTTGGAAGGGTGAGGTAGAGGATTTCAAATTTGGGACCAACTTGAACAATTTAGCAAGTTCAGGGCCAACTGGACTGCATAATGAGACTCTGACTCATATCTGCTCCCCTCAAAAAAAGGTGGAGGAAGAAAAGGAGAAGGTACCCGGAAGACAGGTTCTGCTTGGAGGGACGTAGTGTTTCTCCTCTGAGCAGTTGAGACCAGAAGACTGAAGCCAGGAAAAAGCACTGACCTGGTCAAGGTATACAAAGGGAGCCGGAGGCAAGCAAACATACCATGGGACCTTCCCTGGCTGGAGCAACAGCACACACAGGTGGCAGAAGCCTGGGAAGAAGGAAACACATACCACCCCTCCAAGGCCTCCAGATTGTCTCAGATCTGAGGACAAAGCTGAGGTACCCTGTAAGATGAGAAGGCAGCCGGGCATGGTAACACGACTGTAATCTCAGCACTCAGGAGGCTGAGGCAAGAGGATGGCCACAAGTTTGAGGCCAGCCTGAGCTACATACAGAGGCTCTTCCTAAAATTAAAAAGGGCTGGGGATTTAGTTCAGTGATGCTGTGCCTGCCTCACAAGTGCAAGGTCCCAAGTTCAATCCCTGGTACAGAAAAAGAAAAAGAGAGAGAGAGAGGGATGGCAGTAGTGTGGGCACAGCCTGAAGGATGTAAGTTGTCAGAGTACAGAGCCAAGGGCAGCAGTGCCACGTGTCAGCAAGGGCAGGGATGCCAATGGACACAGGATGGTGTATTACCTGTGGAGCAGTCCATGTAGGTCAGGGTAGGCTCGTTGGTGGCCTTCATTTTCTTGGTGGAATGTTCTGAGGTAGTGGAAGAGACCAGGTTTGTGGTCCGAAAGCAGGAAGTGTTTGCACCAAGGTTATTGTCTAAGGTCCGGTCCCCCTGCTCCGGCTTCCTTTTCCGAGAAGGCAGGGTTATGGAAGAAGGGGTCACTGCTAATGCAGCCTGTGCTCTCCCAAGCAGGTGGCAGCTAGGGACAGAGTGCTGGAGCAGGAAATGGTCTATGCGGGCTTTCAAGGTGGGGTGTGCCAGGGGCTGGGAGTGTGGGGTGAAGGCAATGCCTGTGAATGGGTCACTGGGTACTCGGCCCCATGCAGCCTCACTGCGGTTACACTTCTCTAGGGTGCTCTGGTCGATGACCTTGCCTGAGGGCAGCAGCATGGGATAGGGCATGATCTCCAGGGTGATGGGATCCAGGAACTCCTCAGGTACTTCCTGAATCACCTCAGCCAGCTCTTGCAGGGGGCTGGAGGGGGCCTGCTGGCCCTCAGATTGGCCTGCGGGGTCACAGTCACTCTCCATGGGCAAGGCTGGGGTCTGTAGGGCCAGGTCCTGAGGTATGCTCTCTGAGGCCAGCAGCAAGACACTGTCTATGACCTCCTGAGAGCAGGTCTTTGCTGGCTGACCCCATACCTCCAACCGCTTGATGCAAGGGACACCACTGCCCGTCACATGGGTGATGCAGATCCTGAGGTGGGCCACATGGCAGAGGGAAAGAGCCCCTTTATTCCAGAGTTCCTCGGCCAAAACTGCAGGAGAGGGAAGTGTGACTTCCACTGGGCTAAAAGGTGGCCTGGCCTTGAAGCCCCGGTGGCTGAACACCACTTGGCTCTGGTTCTTCAGCAGGACTTTGCCTACCAAGGTGAACGCCTCCTTGTCAGGCACAGAGGGCTCGGTGGAGCCCAGGGACTGGCACTCAGGCCCACTCCAGGAGGCTCTGCTGGACAAGGTGGATGTGTACATCTCCAGGCCAGTGACATTCTGGCTGCCCCAAGCTGTGAGGTCTACGTAAATCCTACAGATTTCCACATTAAAGGGAAAGGAAACTGTCACGTGCACTGGTGGCTTAATGAAATACTCTGTCCTAAAACCATGGCTTCTCTTTGTGAGGTCTTCAGAGATGAGATTTTCTACTTCATAACCATCAGCTGATATCTAGATTTAATGATAAATATGAGACACACATCTAAATGAAGAAAACTGGTTTTCAAGAACTTAACCACTTTTAAGAAAATTCTTTTAAAATGTCTGAAGTTCTTCCTTTAAAAATTTCCTCTACTAAGCTGAACTGCCCTTAAATTGTCTGGAGGTACCCAAGACCAGGTCAAAAGGCAACTGTGTTCCCAAGTATGAACCAATCTTTAAAAATGAGCAATAGCCAGGTAAGGTGGTACACACCTGTAATCCCAGCACTCAGGGAGGCTGAGTCAGGAGAATTGCTGCAAGTTTCGGGCCAGCCTGGGCTACACAGTAAGTTCAAGGACAGCTTGAACTACGTAGCAAGAATCTGACTCAAAAAAAAAAAAAAAAAAACACAGAAAGAAAAGAAAAATACAAAGAACAAGCAATAAAATAAAAATCTCCCAACTCAACCAAAAATCCTTTTTAACATCTCTGTGAAGATGGAGCACATATACTAGTGATGTTTTATTTCAAAGAATGAAATCATGCACACTTGAGAAAACAAAAATTGCTCAATAAATTCTCAATTTTTGAATGGATAAAGAAAATGTGGTACATATACACAATGGATTACTACTCAGCCATAAAGAAGGACAAATGTGAGTCATTTGTAGAAAAATAGATGTGCATTGAGACCCTAATGCTAAGTGAAAATAATCAGACACAGAAGGTTAAGTATCACATGTTTTTTCTTCTATAAGAAACACCAATGACAGGAAGCAGGGAAGTAGATTTTGTGGAGATGGGAAGGGGATCTGGAGATGGGGGAAACGGGAGGGCAAGGAGGAGAAGGGAAGGTAAAAATGTGGAGTGTATGTGTACTAATTTCCCAAGATGAATGTAATTAATATATACTGCAAATATATACTAATAAAAAGAAGCAAAAAATGTCTTCAATTTTGTACTTGGACCCTACCAATTATGACGCTTTCCCTAGGAAGGCTGAATATAAGTTTCTTATAAATCTATGAATGATGACACTTGGTTTTTAAAAAAGTGTGTACAGGAACAAGGACCACAAAAGAGTACGGCAGCTGGGCATGGTGGTGCATCCCTGTAATCCCAGCACTCAGGAGACTGAGGCAGGATTGCTGTGAGCTCAAGACCAGCCTGAACTACATAGCAAGATTCTGTCTCAAGAAGAAAACAAAGAAAAGAATATGGGAAATGTAAGACAGTAAATTGGCTACAGGATGTGATTTGTAACTTCTCCTTTTAATATTTCTAATACTTGTTATAATGGAAATTTTTAGTGCATCTGTCTGAAAGAGTTAGTCTAACAGTCTGAAAAAAAGAGTATGCAATGTGCATAGCCACCAGATTTGAGCAGGACTTCCATCTCCCCTTGACATTTCCATATTCCTTCCCCATGCTAGGGATAAATACCCTCTTTTTCACCAAAAGGATAGGGATTTAATTAAAATAATAAACAGCAAAGAACTCAAATAACAAATATAAGCTATTACTTCTAATATTTGAAATTAACAAAAGCTGGGCATGATAGTGCATGAGTAATCCCAGAAACTCAGTATGCTAAGCCAGGAAGATTAAAAGTTTAAGGCCAGCACTGGGGAGGCTGAAACAAGAGGATTTCCATGAATTGGCTGCATAGTGAGTTCGAGGCCAGCATGAACTACATAGCAAGACCTTGACTCAAAAAAACAAAAACAGTTTTAAGGCCAACATGGGCAACTTAGCAAGCCCTTATCTCAAAATAAAAAGGAATGGGGATGTAGATTAGTGGTGAAGCACTCCTGGGTTCAATCCTCAGTAATACACACACACACACACACACACACACACACACACACACACAAATTGGGGTTATATTTCTACCTTTGCTATGACTCTGGGTGGAAATGAAATTGATCATCCAAGAAAGAGCACAAAGAAGAAGATGGCCCAAATGAGTCACAGCTCACCTCATAACAGGGCTTTGATTCCTTTGGGGAGCCTGCCCTACACTTACCTATAAATATCACGTGATGGAATCTAAGGGTGAAAGTATACTAAGCCCAAAGAAAGTCCAGAGCAAACCAGAAAAAAATATATTGCATATTTATGTGTATATATTTGTCTTGTTTACCTTGTTGCAGTGAATTCTTGGTCTGAACTGAGGGAGGCAAAGATTTATTACCATCTTTGTGGCTCATATATTAACTTCCAAGCATCAGAAAAAATCTTAAAAAAACAAACTTGGTATTAGACAGGTTAAAAGTCAATTCTAAACTTTCAAGAGCTAATTCCTAAGAGAAAAGAATCAAACACAATGACAAAAATGTGAAAACGCACCCACACCCCCTCAGTCTATATTATCCTTGTATCTTAAACATGACACTGGGAAAAAATTAGTCACAGAAAAACCTTGAAGGAGATTTCTAGTGCAGGCTTCACAGGCTGGCAAAGCCTGCCAATTCTCCAGCTGACAGCTGTGCCAAAGACCAAGTGGAGATGGGGCCTGTCAGCTCTGCAGTTGGCTCCCCACAGGAAAGGGACAGCCACAAACAGCTGCACCCAGAAACAAAACAGAAGGTTTAGAATGAATGGGTCACAAAATAACAACAGTGGTACACAGCATCTTTGTCATTTAACACTGGTCAATGCAATTACATATTCTTATTGAAACAAAAATAATAAGAGTCAAAAATATCACTACTGAAAGGTCTTTTGGGGTTTTATTGAATATTATTAAATCTACAGAGGAATTTAGGGAGCTATTATGGTACCTTTTACAAAATTCATCAGTACAACATTTCTGTTCATTTATTCAGATTATTATTATTATTATTTTTGTACTGGGGATCACATTTGGGTCCTTGCTCTTGCAAGACAGGTGGCGGAATCACTGAGCTAAATCCTCAGCCTGCTTTATTCAGATTATACCAGATTTCTTTTTTTTCTTCATTTTTGGTACCAGGAATTGAACCCAGGACCTCACGCTTACTGGGCAGGTGCTGTGCCACTGAGCTATATCCCTGCCCTAGATTTCTTCTTGATAAATTAACAAATACCTGAAATAGTAACAACATGATCATAAAGGACAGCTGATGTATACTGAGTGCTATGCATCAGGCCTTAAGCTAAATGTGTAATATGTATCATTCATCTCATTAATCCTCAGAACAACAAAAAAGCAGGGCCAGGGATTTGGCTCTGTGGCCTGCCTCGCAAGCGCAAGGACCTGAGTTTGATTCCTGGTACCAAAAAAATAAAGTCAGCTGAGGCTAATAGAAAAAACTTGTCTCCAAAAAAAAAAAAAGGATTAAAGAAAAGGAAAATAAAAAGAACAACAACACAAAAGCAGGCACTAATATCCATATGTGACAGGTGAAACAACTGAGGCTCTGGGCTGGGGATTTAGCTCAGTGGCACAGTCCCTGCCTGGCAAGAATAAGGTCCTGACTTGGGTCCCTGGTAAAAAAAAAAAAAAAAAAAAAAAAAACCCAAAAATAAAAAAAATGAGGCTCAAAGAGAGGTTGGTATGGGATTCCAGATTCCAAACTTCCTGTAAACACTCTTGTTCCTGCTTTATAGACACCATTTGCTTTGAAGGATTTATCAGAAAGTTACGTAGCTTAAAATTCGATGTTCTACAAATATCTCACAATTTTGTTCTGTTACTTAGATCAAAGTTAGACATCATTCATTTAAAAAAATGATTCTTCCAGACTAAAAATTAACATAGCTGTGGGCCGGGGATGTAGCTTAGTGGCACTGAACCTGCCTGGCAAGCACAAGGTCCTGAGTTCAATTCTTGGTACCAGGAAAAAAACAGAAAAAAATTAACATGACTGTGTTTTATGATGTAGAAATGTGGCAACCTTGACTGCCCTTTCCAATATGTACTTGATCAGGCCCCCAATTGTTTTCTAAGAAAATTCTTAATAGGGACGGGAATTTAGCTCAGTGGTTCCACAGCCTGCCTTGCAAACGCAAGGTCCTGAGTTCGATGCCCAGTACCAAAATAAAAAATTTTTTTAATAGGTCCTGCCCACTGCTACTTCCTCTTTCCATCTGTGTGCAGCAGCTAAGTGGGCCAACTACTCAAGCACCTTGCCTCATGAGGCTTCCCTACCTCCTTAGAGGTCGGCAACTCTACTAGTCAACTACTAATGCCTGTGGGCCTATACCTAGTGCAAACTACCTGCTCTTCACTGAACTTACCAAAGTGTGATTTCAGGGAGTAATCACAGAGGCTATTCCAGTCATCCATGGTAAATTTTCTTCAAGGCCACACCAAGTGCCACCCCTTGCCTCCTGTCTGGCATCTCTGGTGGTCACTGTAGGTCGTATCCCGCAACACCACCTGACAGGGTTCTTGGCACTTCGGAGTCTCAGCTCTAGCAAAAATAAATGTAAACATTAATTAAAAACTCAGGGGTATGGGTGTAGCTAAGCAAGAAAGTACTTGACTAGCAGGCCTGTGGACCCGAGTTTGATTCTCAGCACAGCAAATAAATAATTAAAAAGGGCCGGGGATTTAACTTAGTAGTTCCTGAATTCCATCCCCGGTACAAATAAATAAATAAATTAAAAATCAATGGCCAAGTTGGGAATGGTGGCATATGCCTAAAATCCCAGCACTCAGGAAGCGGGAGCAGGAGGATCACTATGAGTTCAAGGCCAGCCTTGGCTATACAGTGAGGTCAAGACCAGTCTGAGTTACATGGTGAGATCCTATCTCAAAGTATAAAAACAAAAACAATCTGCAAAGACTCACAGGACACAAGGCTGGGAGAACACTTCAGCGGAGAACCATAATTTGAGTCTCAAACACATCCCTCCTTGAGATGACCCTCAGAGCAAGTACAGTGAGCATCTGCAAGTGCATCCCAGACACTACCATCACTGTACTCCTCAACCCATTATGAATGCTCTTCGCCAAACCATTCCCTGCGGCTGCAACTAAGACACAGCTCTGGAAGGCTGCATGTTCTTTATTAGGTCAAAATGATCATTAAAAAGAAAATTTTCTCTTGGGTCTCCACACTAAGAGTAACTGCTTTTCACAAGCAACTCAAACTTTTATAATACAATATAGATAGTATGTCTTCTTTACTTTGGCTGCTACAAAGCTTGGAATAAAATCTATGGCCCAGCCACAGATTTCAAATTTCTTTGCCTAAAATCTTTACTTATTATGTCATAGAATATATTGGTTACCTTAAGATCATTTTGGAATAGGATGGGATATAAATCAATAATAAACCATCTCCTTTTGGTGGACATTCAGGTGGTGAGCAACCTTTTATTATAATATTAACATCTCCAGTAGATTTTCGCCTTTTTCTTAAGACATCCCATGTTTCTTATTAAGATTACTATTACTGAGTAGGATCTTCTTAGTCCACTAAATTTTGAACCAGCTACTGCTATATAGAAAAGCTTTTTACTCTGGTATTCATAGTAATTATTCAGCTGTCTCACTGAATTACTGATTGTGTGCATGTGGTGCTAGGGACTGAACCTGGGGTCCTGAGTACACCAGGCAAGCCCTCTACTGCTGAGCTGTATCCCCAGCCTCCGAACTCCTACGGACTTTAATAGATGTTCAGTTCATTTTTCTGGGGTTTTCACAATCCCATCATCTCAGAAATGAGAATCCCTTTCTCAAAATAGTAACCCTTATTTCCATTTTTCATTTTACCGCATTAACTAGGACTTCCAGAACTATACAAAACAAGAACTGCCAACCTTGCTTGTTCCCACCACATAATACTTATCCTGGAAATAAAATGATGATTTAAAATTAGAGGGCTGGGGATTTAACTCAAAGGCTCTGCCGCCTGCCTTGCAAGCACAAGGTCCCCAGTTCGATCCCCAGTACCAAAAATAAATAAGAAAAATAAGTCAGTATATCTTAGTCTGTCAAATGAGACAAGAAACTTTATATAGAGAAAAAAATCAATTCACAGTGTATCCTTTTATTTTCATAATCTGAGAATTTGAATACTTTATTAACATAGAATTAAGATTTTAATCTAACAATCAGCATTATGTTCAAAGTGATGTTCAGAGAGATAAAAATAAGTGGTCAGGTGGTGACAGTAATCTGTATTATACTGTAATGGTGAAACATGGCATTATACATTTGGCAAAACCCACAGAATTATACAACACAAAGAATGAATCTTTACAATGTAAACTGTGGACTGTAGTTAACAATAATGTACCAGGCCAGGGATTTAGCTCAGTGGTGCTGCTGCCTGCCTTGCAAGTGTAAGGTCCCAAATTCAATCCCTGGTACAAAAAAAAAAAAAGGCTGGGGATTTAGTTCAGTGGTACCACTGCCTGCCTGGCAAGTGCAAGGTCCCGAGTTTAATCTCTGGTATCCACCCCCCTAAAAAAATAATAGTGATAACAATAATAAGCAAATAATAATGTACCAGTATTATATTAGTTCACAGTTTTAACAAATGTACCGCACTAATTCAAAATGTTAATAATGGGAAACTGTACAGGACTAATTGCTCAGTTTTTCTGTAAAGCAAAAACTCCTCCAAAATATAACATCTAAGCAGGACACAGTGGTAACCCCAGCACTCTAGGAAGCTGAGGCAGGAGGATCACAAATCTGAGACCATCCTGGGCAACTTAGTGATTTAATGAGACTCTGTTTCAAAATAAAAGAATATGAAAGAGCTGGGATGTAGCTCAGTGTAAAGATCCCAAGTTCAATCTCCAGCAAAAGGAGGGGAGGTGACTGGGGTAAAAAGTGACTAAAATCAGGACTGGAGATCAAATTGACGTGTGCAAAATGGCAAGTGACTGTGCCAATATAGGACAAGAATGGCAGACTCTTTAAAAATCTCATAAATTATGTTTCTTTGGGACATGATGATGCTTAAATAGTAGGAACCTGAGGGCCAGGGATTTAGCCCAGTGGTTCCACCACTTGCCTCGCAGGTGCAAGGACCCAAGTTCAATACCCGGTACAAAAACAAAAACAAAAACAAAAACCCAACAATTAAATAGTAGGAACCTGTAGGATCTGGTTCCTATCCAGATCTTTAATTGTAAGATCTTATTATCTCTCTGGTTCTGATAGTTTCATCTTTCAAGGTTAAGGGTCTCCTGACTATTAATGCTTAATCCAGGGTGGGGAGCCCTCAGACTATCAAAAGGCAAAAAGCTTAGCCTAGGAAGACTGCCCTCAGAGCTATACTATACTATGTTGCCCAGGCTGGTCTTGAACTCACTGATTAAAGTGATCCTTCCAAGTAGCTGGAGTAGGTGTACCACAGCACCCTGCTTGAAATGTGTCACTTAGCTAGAGGCAGGAAAAAGAGATGTGAAGGTCTTAAATGTCATGCCAAAGGGCTTAGATTACGTCTGGTGGGCTTAAGTATGTAGTGGTTCTCAAACTACAAGTCAACAACTGAGACTTCCGATTACTGAGAAAAATGACTGATTTTTAAAAATTAAGTAGGACAGAAAAAATAAAGCATTGGAATACACTATACATAAGGGTGTGCATTGTTTTATGAAACTTTGTTATATACATTCATTAACATTTTGCTATGAGGCATTTTTTATTAAGGGTTGTAGCAAAAATAATTTTTTTAAAAGTTTGAAAGCCACTGGTTAGAGGGAGTCACAGAGAGCTGGTTATATCAAGGAGATAAATGACACTAATAAAAGGTCTACCATTAACCTCCTAGATATCTAGAAAAAAAGCAATTCTGTACCACTTAGAAGCAATTCATCCTTCAACGGGTCTCTCTCTCTGGCTGATGTGTCCACTATCTTTCCTTTACTCCTGGAGGGGCTATTATTGCAAATGGATTCCTGAAGACTTCCACAATGATT